AACTGTTTTGCAAAATCAGCCTCATCGTTACATACAGACATAACTGTGGCTTAAACAGCTGCACGCCAACTAGGACTACATTCTCAGTTGTATAAAGCAAACCATCACACAAATGTAAAGATAACAATGATTAGAGTTATAATAAATAGCTCACTTGTGTCTCAGGTCTGCGAAGTTGCATGAGTGCATTGATTGACAAACTATGCATGCTGTCTTTGTGTGAACACTTTAATATATCTGCATAGTTGTCCATATTAAAGTGCTTTATAACGGACACACGCCCGTACAGGAGGATCTAGCGAGACTTGGTGGTGTTTCTGAATGGAACAGCTGTTCACTGTTCCTGACAGAACACTCAATAATATCCAGCTGCAAACCTAACCGCCTTCAGATCAGTGTGATTCAACAGATTCAGAGTGCTTTTACTGTACATATACATCTTTCTGTTTATTTTTAATGAGGCGACGTAGTGGCGCAGTAGGTAGTGCTGTCACCTCACAGCAAGAAGGTCGCTGGGTTGCTGGTTCGATCCTCGGCTTCTGTGTGGAGCCTTGCATGTTCTCCCTGCGACCGCGTGGGCTTCCTCCGGGAGCTCCGGTTTCCCCCACAGTCCAAAGACATGCGGTACAGGTGAATTGGGTAGGCTAAAGTGTCCGTAGTGTATGAGTGTGTGTGTGTGTGAATGTGAGTGTGGATGTGTCCCAGAGATGGGTTGCGGCTGGAAGGGCATCCGCTGCATAAAAAAATGCTAAATAAGTTGCCGGTTCATTCCGCTGTGGCGACCCAGGATTATTAAAGGGACTAAGCCGACAAGAAAACGAATGAATTAATTTTTTATGAATTTGAATAGCAGTAGATGAATAGTAGTCAGTCCAATTCAAAGCAGCAACTTTTTTGCCATCTCCTGTTGTCCTGTCAGGTTCATTTATTGAAGAAAAAGCCTATCTATCTATCTATCTATCTATCTATCTATCTATCTATCTATCTATCTATCTATCTATCTATCTATCTATCTATCTATATCTATCTATCTATCTATCTATCTATTTTATATAAATATATATTTTATTTACATATTTATTTGTATATTTAATAGTTTATATGTATATTTAATAGTTTTAATAACTCATTTCTGATAACTGATTTATGTTATCTTTGCCAAGATGACAGTAAATAATATTTTACTAGATATTTTTTTAAGACACTTCTATACAGCTTAAAGAGATATTTAAAGGTTTAATTAGGTTAATTAGGCAAGTTATTGTATAACAATGGTTTGTTCTGTAGACTAGCGGAACAAAATAGCTTAAAAGGGCTAATAATTTTGTCCCTAAAATGGTTCATGAAAAAATCTAAACTGCTTTTATTCTAGCCGAAATAAAACAAATAAGACTTTCTCCAGAAGAAAAAATATTATCAGACATGCTGTGAAAATTTCTTTGCTCCTTTAAACACCATTTAGGAAAAAAAAAATATTAATAAAAAAATAAATCAAAGGTGGGCTAATAATTCTGACTTCAACTATTTATATATTCTTTTATAATAGTAATAAATAAATAAGGGTTTAAAATAAGCATTTTCTTGAGACAATCAGTTTAAAAGAAAATGTCTGACAAGTGGGCCTTCAAAATAATTCACAGAAAGAGGCGGTTCTTGAAGTAAAAAAGGTTGAGAACCCCTGGTGAAGGGATGAGTCGGCAGTGTAATCAAATACAAAAATCATTTACAGATGTAATTAGATGATGGTAATTTTTTCAGTAAGTGCATTATGTAACATCCACATACACAAAAAGTACATTGTATCAAATTATAAATTTAAATGGAAATACACAGAATTTAAGGACACATCATATAAAGTGAGATAAAAACAATAACTCATTTAAAATAAACTAAATAAACATCTAACATGGAGATTTTATAACTAAGGTTGGTTTCTAGCACAATGCAATGACAGACAGACAAACAGACAGACAGTAAGTATTTCAATTATATCAAATTACAGAAGGTTGTGATGTGCCTATTAAACCACTAGATGGCGACCAAACATACAGAAAGTAAATGGAATTACACACTGTTCCCCAAATCCCAACTGAGCCTCTGGAGTTCAAAGTACATTTATTGTTCATTCAAGCACAAGATCCTCTAAATAATGAAACAAACACTGCAAATAATTCTCTAAACTCTAAATAATGACCTCCTTTCTTTTCTTTTCCACCTACTGCCAACTCATTATTACAGAGCACGAAACATGATAAAATAGTGAACTAGTAATTAAATTCTCATTGTTATTAGAGTAATTAAATAGTATGTATTGTAAAAAAAAGAAAGAAAAATCTTAATCTGTTTTATAAGTTCCTCTGTTCATTAACAAACTTTAGTTTTACATTTGATCAAATAATATATAGTAATTTTATATTATATCACATTCCATTATATTGTATTTTATTACATTAATTCAATATTTTTTAAAAGAATCTCTAATATATAAAATAGCACTTAAATTCAAAGTTGAAAATTAAATTGTGCTGTTTTCTAACAAAAATGGTTTGTTTGTTTGTTTGTTTGATAAAAATATAATATAGTACAACAAAATATGAAGTATTATTGCATTTTAAGTATTAAGTATTATAGTTTTCTTTTGCTTTAAAGCAAAAAATAAATATCCAAAATTATTATTCGGTTTACAGATAAAAATATATGAATACAATATTTACAATTGTAAAAAAATGGTTAAAGGACAATGATTATGGATATATGATATTATATATGATATATTAAATATTTATATGTTGGTTAAAGGATGGACAATTGTTATGGATATATTATATGGTATATTATATTATATGATATAATATATAATTTGATAGGTTATATGATATGGTATTTGATTATATTATATGGTATGTTAAATGGTATGGTATATGATGATATTATATGCTATATGATATGATATATGATGATTTTAATATGGTATGGTATATAATGATTATAATATGATATGGTATATGATGATTATAATATGATATGGTATTTGATGATTATAATATGGTATGGTATATGATGATTATAACATGATATGGTATATGATGATTATAATATGATATGGTATATGATGATTATAATATGATATGGTATATGAGGATATTATATGCTATATGATATGATATATGATGATTTTAATATGGTATGGTATATGATGATTATAATATGATATGGTATATGATGATTATAATATGATATGGTATATGATGATTATAATATGATATGGTATATGATGATTTTAATATGGTATGGTATATGATGATTATAATATGATATGGTATATGATGATTATAATATGATATGGTATATGATGATTATAATATGATATGGTATATGATGATTTTAATATGGTATGGTATATGATGATTATAATATGATATGGTATATGATGATTATAATATGGTATGGTATATGATGATTATAATATGATATGGTATATGATGATTATAATATGATATGGTATTTGATGATATGATATGGTATTTGATGATTATAATATGGTATGGTATATGATGATATGATATATGATATGGTATATGATGATATTATATGCTATATGGTATAGTATATGATATTATATGCTATATGATATGGTATATAATAATATAATATGATATGATATATAATATGGTATATGATGATTATAATATGATATGGTATATGATGATATGATATGGTATTTGATGATTATAATATGGTATGGTATATGATGATATTATATGCTATATGATATGATATATGATGATTTTAATATGGTATGGTATTTGATGATTGTAATATGATATGGTATATGATGATATGATATGGTATATGATGATATTATATGCTATATGATATGGTATATGATGATTATAATATGATATGGTATATGATGATTATAATATGATATGGTATATGATGATATTATATGCTCTATGATATGGTATATGATGATATGATATATGATATGGTATATGATGATATTATATGCTATATGGTATAGTATATGATATTATATGCTATATGATATGGTATAAAATAATATAATATGATATGATATATAATATGGTATATGATGATTATAATATGGTATGGTATATGATGATATGATATGATATATGATGATATTAAATGCACTATGATATGGTATATGATGATATAATATGATATGGTATCTGAAGATATGATATGGTATATGATAATATATGATATGGTATATAATATGGTATATGATATGATATAAAATTATATATGATATTTCCCAGTGATGGGTTGCGGCTGGAAGGGCATCCGCTGTGTAAAAACTTGCTGGATAAGTTGGCGGTTCATTCCGCTGTGGTGACACCATATTAATAAAGGGACTAAGCCAAAAAGAAATTAAAATTCAAAGGGGGGCTAATAATTCTGACTTCAACTGTATATGATATTGTGTATGATGATTTTATATATGATATGGTATACAATGATATGACATGATATGATATAGTATATGCTGATATGATATATGATTTGGTATACGTTAATAAGATAATGATATGATATATGATATGATATGAAAAGGTATATGATTTATGGTATATGATATATGATATAATATGGTAATATAAGTATAAAGAGTATAAAATGGTATATGATATGATATGGTAAATAATACATATTTTACATGATGATATATAAAATGACATACAGTATGATACAATTTATGATATGATATGATTTATAACATGATATAAGTCATGAAATATGATATGACATAATATAATATATGATTTATGATACAAATTTTATTGTACAAATGTTTATTTTTATAAATATTTAATAACAATTGGCTTAACAGAAACTATGCATTACATGTGTGTGTTTGTGTGTGTGTGTGTGTGTGTGTGTGTGTGTGTGTGTGTGTGTGTGTGTGTGTGTGTGTGTGTGTGTGTGTGTGTTTATGTCTCTGTGTGCATGTGCATGTGTGTGTGTAGTCTGACCTGTCATGCTTGAGTCTGTTGTGTCTTGATGTGTAGTGTCTGTGCTGATCATGACCGGAGGTGGAGGAGCTTTCCTCTTAGTAGACGATTTCTTGAAGGACGACTCTGTGGACGAGGCCCGACTCAAAGAGGACAGATTCTGTGCAAAAACAGCCAGAGGGACAGTAATAAATGTGACATGCACTTACAAATATTTGGCTGTAGGAAACGGAACCACATTCCCTAATGACAAGGTGATGAAACGACTCTACCCAGAGCAGAGTTTAGAGAAACAAAACAAATACTGCAAAGCTCAATGTTTCCGTCCGCCTATTTTTATCTGCATTTTGGAATATCTATAAAAAAACATGCTTAATTCAAACACCAAGATGCAAATAAAATATCTTTTAATCCACTTAAAAAATGTTTTAATAGTCTTTAAAACTAGAGATTTTTTTAAAGTCATAGTACCATCAACTGTAAACTTTAGTAGTGGTATAATTCTTTAAAATATAATAAAAATCGGGGCGTCTCGATGGCAGAGTGGGTAGATTGATCGCCTCACAACAAGAAGGTTGCTGGTTCGAGTCCAGGTTAGATCAGTTGGCATTTCTGCGTGGAGTTTGCATGTTCTCCCTGGGTTAGCATGGGATTCCTCTGGGTGCTCCGATTTCCCCCACAGTCTGAACACATGCACTGTAGGTGAATTCGGTAGGCTAAATTGTCTGTAGTGTATGAGTGTGAATGAGAGTGTTCCCAGTGATGGGTTGCAGCTGGAGGGGCATCCGCTGCGTAAAACATATGCTAGAATAGTTATGATAGAATATGATAGAATAGTGGCAACCCCGGATTAATAAAAGGACTAAGCCGAAAATTAAATTAATGAACCAGCGACCTTCCTGCTGTGAGGCAACAGTGCTAACCACTATATAATATAATATAATATAATATAATATAATATAATATAATATAGTTTAATTTAATATAATATATTATAATACATTATAATATAACATAAAATAACATAATATAATATAATATAATATAATATATATATATATAATATATATATATCAAACCATTTTGGAATAAGCTATGAAAAATATGCTTAATTGAAACACCAATATGCAATTTTGAAAATGTGAATAAAATCTTAAAAAATACGCACATCTGAGTAGGATAAGTTTTTATCCACTAAAAACACAAATAATGATGGAAGAATATTTTACATGATTTTGTTTTAACAGATCATGTGATGATAAAAATGGCTGTGATGGGAGGCATTAATGGACAAATTATTGAAGTGAGCACAGTGTAAAACATCAGATTTTTTTTAGAGGTACAGTTGCCTTGAATCGTGCCAAAGTGCACTTGTCCATACATATATACAGTTGAAGTCAGAATTATTAGCCCCCTTGAATTATTAGCCTCCCAGTTTATTTTTTCACCAATTTCTGTTTAACAGAGAGAAGATTTTCAACACATTTCTGAACATAATAGTTTTAATAACTCATTTATAATAACAGATTTAGTTTATTTTTGTCATGATGACAGTAAATAATATTTGACTAGATATTTTTCAAGACACTTATATACAGCTTAAAGTGACATTTAAAGATTTTACTAGGTTAGTTAGGTTAACTAGGCAGGTTATTTCTAATTATGTTCAGAAATTTGTTCTAGGAAAAATATACGCTAATAATTCTGACATCTTTTTTTAATGGAAACACAGCTAATTTTTTTTTTTTTTTTATTATTGTGTTCATTCTCTAATGACGATCTGATGAAATGACTCGAGTTTAAACTTTAGTTTACAGAAAAACAAAAGAAATACTGACAAAGAAAGTTTAACCGCTCATTGTGTTCACAGACAGCTGTTTAGATGGAGATCCAGACCTGCTCTTTGAACTCGGCTCGTGAAATAACAGGTTACAAAGTCTTGTTTGTTTGCTTCTTTTTTGTTTTTTTAAAGACTCCATGATTATGAAGCCTCAATTTAAGTAGAATGGGTCCAAAAGCAAACGTTTGGAAACACACAGAAACGGCAGATTATCATCTAGGGCTTGCTTCAAAGAAACTAATACATCAATAGATTAGAGAATATATATATATATATATATATATATATATATATATATATATATAGTTGAAGTCAGAATTATTAGCCCCCTGAATAATTATCTCACGTTTATTTTTTTCCACAGTTTCTGTTTAACGGAGAGAAGATTTTTTTCAACACATTTCTAATCACAATAGTCTTAATAACTCATTTCTAATAACTTTTTATTAAAAGATAAAAGATTTATTTTATCTTTGCCATAATGACAGTAAATAATATTTTACTAGATATTTTCAAGACACTTCTATACAGCTTAAAGTGACATTAAAAGGCTTAACTAGGTTAATTAGGTTAACTAGGCAGGTTAGGGTAATTAGGCAAGTTATTGTATAACAATAGTTTGTTCTGTAGACTACGGAAAAAATATATAGCTTAAAGGGGCTAATAATATTGTCCTTAAAATGTTTATTAAAAAATTAAAAACTGCTTTTATTCTAGCCGAAATAAAACAAATAAGACTTTCTCCAGAAAGAACAATTTTATCAGACATACTGTGAAAATTTCCTTGCTCTTTTAAATATAATTTGGGAAATATTTAAAAAAGAAGAAAAAAAATCAAAGGGGGGGCTAATAATTCAGACTTTAACTGTATGTATATATATATATATATATATATATATATATATATATATATATATATATATATATAAACTAAACTAAACTAAACTAAACTAAACTAAACGGCCACTTTACACCTGTCCAACTGCTCGTTAACGCAAATGAATTTAGGCATGTAGACATGGTCCAGACGATCTGCTGCAGTTCAAACCAAGCATCAGAATGGAGAAGAAAGGGGATTTAAGTGACTTTGAACAAGGCATGGTTGTTGGTGCTAGACGGGCTGGTCTGAGTATTTCAGAAACTGCTGATCTACTGGGATTTTCAAGCACAACCATCTCTAGGGTTTACAGAAAACTGTCAGAAAAAGAGATAATATCTAATGAGCGGCAGTTCTTTGGGCGCAAATGCCTTGTTGATGCCAGAGGTCAGAGGAGAATGGCCAGACTGGTTCCAGCTGATAGAAAGACAACAGTTACTCAAACTCACAACAGTTACACCTTGAGGCAGATGGGCTACAGCAGCAGAAGACCACACCAGGTGCCACTCCTGTCAGCTAAGAACAGGAAACTAAGGCTACAATTCACACAGGCTCACCAAAATTGGACAATAGAAGATTGGAGAAACGTTGCCTGGTCTGATGAGTCTCCATTTGTGCAACAAAATTCGGATGGTAGGGTCAGAATTTGGCATCAACAACATAAAAGCGTGGATCCATCCTGCCTTGTGTCAACAGTTCAGGCTGGTGGTGGTGGTGTAATGGTGTGGGGATATTTTCTTGGCACACTTTGGGCCCATTAGTACCAATTGAGCATCATGTCAACACCACAGCCTACCTGAGTATTGTTACTGACCATGTCCATCCCTTTATGACCACAGTGTACTCATCTACTGATGGCTACTCCCTTTATCACCACAGTGTACTCATCTTCTGATGACAACTTCCAGCAGGATTACATAGCATGTCGTAAAGTGTGAATCATCTCAGACTGGTTTCTTGGACATGACAATGAGCTCACTGAACTGAAATGGCCTCCACAGTCACCTGTTCTCAATCCAATAGTTTTTAAAATATGCTTTGGTTATAATTTTGTGGCTGGAAGGGCATCCACTGCAGTAAACAGAGTAGTTGGCGGTTTACTCCACTGTGATAAACCCTGGACTAAGCTGAAGGAAAAATAATAAAGCAATTTAATATTAAATTAATACATTATAGAAATAATAATAATAATAATAATAATATTAATAATATTAATAATATATTATTTAGAATTATAATATAATATAATATAATATAATATAATATAATATAATATAATATAATATAATATAATATAATATAATATAATATAATATAATATAATATAATATAATATAATATAATATAATATAAAGCTATAGTAACATTAACTGTAAACTGTCGTTTTGGTACAATTTATTAAAATATAATAATACTTTTATATACATAAATTAAAAAAAAAAAAACACTGCACCTAAAGTCATATGTTGAGCCTACTTTCATACTTCTACACTCCAGTGCATGTTCAAAGCAAGCTTTCCTAATAAACATTAACCAAATCTCAGCACAGCATTACATACCTGGTTGCCATCAGGATGCACAGTGGTCTGTGTTTGACTGAGGTCGCTGGGCATGCTCTGTGACATCATGCTAGGCGGCAGCGGCGCTCGTCGTTTTTTCGGCGTGTCGGAGGGCATCGTGTTGCAGTCGTAGCTGAGGGGTACATGCGTGCTGAAGGAGCTCATACTGACCGGCCGCTGCTTTCTGTGCACTGGAGAAGCCGGAGCGCTCACGGTCATAGACTTTAACAAGAAACAACCAATCACCAGTCAGATCACTACCAACCAGAGCCAATCACATGCAAGCAAAAGTCTTTAATAATTTGCATAAAGCAAATATGACCAGGGAATGTTTGCAAAAGAAAGGAAAACAAGCACACACACACACAAACACACACACACACACACACACACACACACACACACACACACACACACACACACACACACACACACACACACACACACACACACGACTTTGACCTTATCTCAACGTCAGCACAAAAATCTCAATGTTATTGTTCCTTTTTCATACTTCTGTGATTTCATGACTCACCTGTTCGGATTGCTTCTTGCTTCCTCTGCGAAACAGACTGAAGCGCCTTTTGTTATCCTTCTCCCGCAAGGATTTTTCTTTCCCGTGATAAAATATTTCTGGGATTCAATGCAGATTAGAGAGTTTTAACTTCTTATTTAAAGTGTTTATTTTACAGTGTTTGTTCCAAACAAACCCATATAGGAAATGTATTTATGATTGAACATATTTAAACTATGACACGGTGTGATAATTACTAATAACAACTGAAGTATCTCATCTATCCTTTGTGGACTTAAAATGCTAATACAATACAACTTAGGGCGTACTCACACTATGTACAGCTGCCTTAAACCGGACCAAAGCACGCTTGTCCCCCCTCCCGTCTCACCTGACGGCCCGAACTCACATTACATTTGGGCCTGGGCACGCTTACGTCATCGATGATGCGCTGTTCAGTAAGTGCTTTCGCTAAGCACAGATTAGATCTCTTTATTTTTATCGTTTTAGTGGTTTAATATGTAGTGACACGCAGTCTGATATTTCGCCGAACAGATCTGGCACCTTTGACGCTCATAAACAATCATAAAGTCCTCATGCTGCCGGAATTATGAGGTTTCCTGAAGGTGCAGCTGTCGTGCAGTGAGGGGTTTGCATCTTTAATAAGCTCTGACAGTTTGCGTTCATTGAACAGTAAGAATGATTAATAAATCCATATCAAACAGACCCTTAAAAGTCACGTCTCACTTTCAGTTTCAGGCTCAGGCGCGTTTTGCACTCACACACAAGCATACCACGCTAAAGCCCAAGTGAACCACGCTCTGGCACACCTCTTCCAACCGGGCCATGGCCGGTCAAGTGAACAGTGCCTGAGCCTGATTTAGAGCACTCACACTTCTCAAACGACCTGGGAAATGGGCCTGGGCACGGTTCGGATAGCATAGTGTGAGTACACCCTTAATAACTTGACTTAAACACAGCAGAACAACATCAAACTAACATAAGCATAAAATAAACATAACACAACTGCAAACACAGCACAACGCAACAACAAACACACAGTAAAAACAAACACAACATGACAAAAACAACATAAACACAATACAACATAACAACAAAAACAACACAACCTCATAGCAACAAACACAACGTCAAACAATACCACATAGCAAGAAACAACATCACACACAGCAAAACAACAAACAACATAACAAAAACCACAACTTAACAAACACAGCATATCAAACAATACAACAAAACAACAAACACAACATAACATCAAACATTACAACATAACAGCAGTCACAAATACATAACAGCAAACACAACAGAAAACACAATCCAATAACAACAACAAACACAACATAAAACACAATCCAATATAACAACAAACACAACATATCAAACAATACAACGTAACAACAGACACAACAACATAACAACAAACACAACAACATAACAACAAACACAACATGAAAAAAACACAATACAACATAACAAAAAACACAACAAAACAACAAACACAACATAACAACAAACAGAATAAAACAACAAGAAACACAACAAGACATCAAACACAACAACGAAACAACAAACAACACAACATCAAACAATACAACATAGCAACAAACAGCAAAACAACAAACAACATAACAAAAACCACAACATAACAAACACAGAATATCAAACAATACAACAAAACAACAAACAAAACGTTACAACAGACACGACAACATAACAACAAACACAACAACATAACAACAAACACAACATGACAAAAATACAATACAACATAACAACAAACACAACAAAACAAAAACACAATACAACATAACAACAAACACAACAAAACAAAAACATAATACAACATAACAACAAACACAACAAAACAACAAACACAACATGCAAAAACACAATACAACATAACAACAAAACAACACACACAACATGACAAAAACATAATACAACATAACAAATACAACAAAACAAAACAACAAACACAAGATGACAAACACACAATAAAACATAACAACAAACACAACAAAACCACAAACACAACAACAAAACAACAAACAACACAACATAGCATGACAAAAACAACATAACAAACACAATAAAACATAACAACAAACACAACATGACATCAAACACAACAACAAAACAACAAACAACACAACACAGCCTGACAAAAACAACATAACAAACACAATAAAACATACTGTAACAACAAACACAACAGTCACAACAACATATAAACAAACACAACAACATAACAAACACAGCAAAACAACACACAACGTAACAAACACAGCATATCAAACAATACAAGATAACAACAAACACAGCATAACAAATCAAACAATACAACATAACAAATACAAAAAACAACAAACACATCATAACATCAGTCACAACAACATAACAACAAACACAACAAACACAGCAAAACAACAAACACAACATAACAAACACAGCATATCAAACACAGCAAATTTACAAACACAACATGACAAAAACACAATAAAACATCACAACAAACACAACACGACATCAAACAAAACAACAAATGCAACAACATAGCATGACAAAAACAACATAGCAAACGCAATAACACAACATAATATCAAACACAATACAACATAACAACAGACACAACAACATAACAACAAACACAACACGACAAACACAGCATAACAACAAAAAAACAGCACAACAGAACACCACATCACAAACACAACACAACATAAAAACGAGATAATATAATATAATATAATATAATATAATATAATATAATATAATATAATATAATATAATATAATATAATATTATACATCAACATTATATATCAACAACGAGCACAACACAACACGATAAATTAAATATAATTAAATAAAATAAAAATAACAATAACATGAAATAAACAAAACAACCATAACGTAACAACATCATAGCATAGCATAAACACAACACAACATAACATAATACAAACACCCCATAAATAAATACAGCATAACCATAAGCTAAAACAAACAAAAACATAAAATTACAAAACATACCAAAAATAAACACACCAATATAAACTAAGTAAACATAACATAACGTAAATGATTAATAAATACATACATTAAACACAACACATCCATAAAAATAACAAGAAAATTAACAAATTAACAAAGCATAATATAACACAAAATGAACAAACATAATCAAAAGGAACATCAAATACACAAAGCAATACACAACATAACAAGAGTACAGCCTTAACTAAAGAACTCATTTTAAGTAAGAGATAGACAACAATAACTTTCATTTGACGACATGTATATGATATATAAAACAGAAATGATCACATACCTGAGCGAGTTGGAGATGGAGGAAGACTGACTGGACTGATAGGACTTACAGGACTAATAACTGCAAGAGAAAACACAAACACAAGAGTACAGTAGAGTAAAAAACTCAATGTCACCTCTAAACTGGTCTTGCATGACTTCATATGGGTCATTTTAATAAAGTCAGCATAAACACACACACACACACACACACACGCACGCGCACGCACACACGCACACACGCACGCACGCATGCACACACGCATGCACACACACACACACACACACACACACACACATGCATGCACACGCACACACACACACTTGTTTTTGTGAAAAGTGGGGACATTACATAGGTTTCCATTCATTTTATACTGTTCAAACCGTATATTATATTGCCCTCACCCCACCCCAACAATAAACCCAACCATCACAGGAGACTGTGTGCAGCTTTACTCTCTGATTAAACTCATTCTGTGGGATTTATAAGCTTTTTGAGGAATGAGGACGTCACCAATGTCCTCATATTTCACCTCCTTTTTGTAATACCTGTGTCATACCCATGTCATTATACAGATTTGTGTCCTGATGTGCAAACACGCACACACGCACACAGACACACAGACAGACACACAGACAGACACACAGACAGACACACAGACACACACACACACACACACACACACACACACACACACACACACACTTACCTCTAGTGTCTCTTGCGTACACTTCCCTCAGGCCGAAGTCATTGAGGGATCCGCTCAGGTCCAGTGTGTCTTCTGATTGGACGCTTGGTGATAAAAGTGTGGTCTGCGGGTCAAACTCACACTTCTGGCAGATCGCCGGGAGCAGCTCGCGCAGAGGAACTCGAGGACTCACTCGCAGGATGGTTTTCTGGGTTTTTCTGTAGTTGATCACTAATCGCACAGTGGCCTGAATGAGACAAGATAGAATATTACTTACTTGGATATTATGTGTGTGCGCGCTCATGCATGTGTGTGCATTATTGTTTCAAAGCAGCTTCACAAAATGCAGACATTATTGCATGACTACAAACTAAGTTAAAGTTACAAACAAATAAGTATTATGTTTATACAGTTGAAGTCAGGATTATCAGCCCCTCTGAATTATTAGCCCCCCTGTTTATTTTTCCCCAATTTCTGTTTAACAGAGAGAAGATTTTTTCAGCACATTTCTAATCATAATAGTTTTAAAGGGCCATGACACCCCCCACTTTCGGTTAAAGTCTACTTCAGAATTTTTTTAAAAGATGCATGATTAATGGGCGTGGAGCTCCGCGAGCATAGGGCAGGAGTGGGCGTGGCCAGCAGGGGAGAAGGGGAGCAAACAACTGTTGTTGACAGTTAGCTCACAAAATGAGACACAAACCTTGAGGAGACACATGAGTTTATAGTTTACAACGTTAAAATGCAAAGAAATAAACAGTAATTTAATACCCTGCTACATTTGTTATTTGTAATTTCATTTATTATAGATCTGAATGCAGACTCAGTGCAGCAGATCTCCTGACCTGTCTATTTTAACCATTAGCCCTGCTGGTAATATTGAGGATTTAGGCAAACATAGCAGCACGGCGATGTGTAAAAGTCAACGTCCGCCATTCTCTAATTCGCGTGCTGCTCTCCCGACAAAAATGCTTGCAGCACACACACAGCTTTGCTGTATGATCGGCCCTGACAGGATCGCGGGGAAAAAACATGCAACAAACCCCGTGGATCATGGAAACAAACACATACAAGCCTTCATGAACGGCTACTGCGTGCCGTTGGTCTGTGTCTCACAGCTTGCTTGAAACTGGCAGGTCTGCCTTCGGAATGCACGTGCTCTCATGAATAATTAAGCAGCCGGCTCTTCTCATAGGATAAGAAAACTCCGCTATGAATAATAATGAGAAACCGACGCGTCGTCATTGCACTTGCAGTACTGCGCTACGTCGCCGATTTTGATCCGCCCCAAAAATCATTTTAAACCCAGAAGCTGAAATTAGCTGACAAAAGCTTAAAATTATCCAGTCTTCCCCACAATTAAAGCTGACAGATGCTAACATTGTCTTAACTAATGCTCAACACAAACAAATCTGTTAAAATAAAATAAAAAGTTCTCCAGGGTGTCCTGAACCTTTAATAACTCATTTCTAATAACTTATTTATTTTATCTTTGCCATGATGACAGCAAATAATATTTTACTACATATTTTTACTACATATTACAGTGACATTTAAAGGCTTAACTAGGTTAATTATGTTAACTAGGCAGGTTAGGGTAATTAGGCAAGTTATTGTATAATGATGGTTTGTTCTGTAGACTATCGAAAAAAAATTAGCTTAAAGGGGCTAATAATTTTGTCCTCAAAATGGCGTTTAAAAAATTAAAAACTGCTTTTATTCTAGCCGAAATAAAACAAATAAGACTTTCTCCAGAAGAAAAAATATGATCAGTGTTACCACGGGGAGTGACACCACCAACAAAAGTTTTGGATCCACATGCAGGTTTATTTAAAGTCAGACAAGCGATGGTCAACACAGGCGCAAACAGGTATTTGGAGACAGTCCAGAATCACAGTCGAATACAGACTAGAGGTCAGAAAGGCAGGCAAAGACAAAGAGGCTAACAAGGCTAACGGTCGGTACACAAGATAACAAGACTGGGAAAACACATTGTAGTGTTACTAGTGACAGAAAACAAGACTCTGCAATTTGAATGAGTGTGTGTGCTGCTTAAATACTGTGTGTAATCAGTATTTGACAATCCTCAGGTGGTGAGAGTGTAATCAGTCTAAATGAGGAAGCAGGTGTGTGTGGCATGACTGAATATGTAGTCCATTTACACGCAGATTTGTAGTTCTATGAGAGTGAATGTTTTCCAGCAACCTCTGGTGGTTAGAAGTTGTGGTGATTGTGACAATCAGAGATACTGTGAAAATGTCCTTGCTCTGTTAAACATCATTTAGGAAATATTTAAAAAAGAAAAAAAAAAGGGGGGGGGGGGGGGGGCTAATAATACTAACTTCAACTGTATATAATACAACCTCCTCAAAAATGACACATCTAGCATTGAAACATGAAGTTTTATGAGTGAATAACTGAATCATTTATTGAAAATGGGACTAAAAATAAGTCCTTGTACACAATATAATATTAGATTTCGACATGTAGTGTTATCAGCAACAGTAGTAGTAACAGTACATTTTTCACAGTACTGAATATTTTACAGTTTTTTTTTATTTTATCTGATTATTTCTTAATTTCTTCAAGTTCTGTTTGTTGAAACTAAAAGTGTCTTGCAGTGCTGTTTTTTTTTTTGTTAATGGAAAGCAAATTATGTTTATCTCCTCGCCTTTTTGGCTGATCTGAAAAATGATTTGTGATCTGTTACACCACCAGTAACAACATATTCTAATAAGCAAAAAGGACTAAGTCATCGAATACAAACAGATTAAATTGAATAAACGAATAAATTAATTAATTTAAATATGTAATCCTGATGTTGGTTCCCTGACTGAGAAACATGAAAATGAACAGTTTTAATAAAATCCAGCAGCCACGTTATTTATCTCAGACACTGTTTGTAACTGATGATGTTGTGGATTGTTAGTGTGCTGTACAGTCAAGCTCTGCTGCTTTTAGTTATCTAGATAAAAGTCAGGCTCCTCTCACAGGGTGTGGAAGAGCAGATCTGCTTTTATTCATGACTAAAAGAACAAACATGAACACGAAAATGACTAAGAAAACTATTATAAGATGTCTTCTGATTAGCTAACATTAAAATAGATCATATGTATGTTTCTGGTATGGAATATAATGAATGAATGAATGAATGAATGAATGAATGAATCAATCAATCAATCAATCAATCAATCAATCAATCTATCTATCGTTCAATCAATCGCTCCATCCACTTATCTATTGTTTCATCCATCTATCGTTCCATTTCTCTATCGTTCCATCCATCCATCCATCTATTGTTCCATCCATCATCTATCTATTTATCATTCCATCCATCTATTGTTCCATCTATCTATCGTTCCATCCATCCATCCATCCATCCAATACAACTATCTATCTATCTATCTATCTATCTATCTATCTATCTATCTATCTATCTATCTATCTATCTATCTATCTATCTATCTATCTATCTATCTATCTATCTATCTATCTATCTATCTATCTATCTATCTAGTTTCCCAGTAATGGGCTGCAACGGAAAGGGCACCCACTGTGCAAAACATGTGCTGGATAAGTTGGTGGTTCATTCCTCTGTGGTGATCCCTAATGAATAAAAGGACTAAGCCAAAGGAATATAAATGAATGAATAAATATATTTTGCTAATATTATTGATTTTGTTATTATTATTATTTTATCGATTTTATTTCAAATGTTATATTAAGATTTATTTTTCAACACTTGACCTCACATTTGCAGTGAGACAAATAAAACAGAAGTAATATCAGTGGCATTTATTCACTGTATATTGTTTTATACAATACAAACTGAACTATTGCTCATCTAATCAAAATAGTCACCATATAATTATTATATTTTTGCTTTCATTTCATTTCACTTGTTCAAGTAATCTGAAGTAATTAATTTAGTAGTGTTGGTAATTACTAATTATATTAATCATTCTAACTGCATTTTAATGGGGCTTCAATATGAAGTCAATGCTTTTTTTAATAAGAATGACATGTCAATGACACATCATCAAAACCATAATTATCTTATGCAGTAATTATCATCTTAATGCACTCCCCTAATAACCAATTATAGAAATTGAGCTGATCAATGTCATTATTGTCTTATTATAAAAACAATAAATGCAACTTGCCTTAAAGGAATAGTTCACCCTAAAATGCACATTCTTACAGCATTTACACACACTTCACTTGTGCCAAACCTTTATGAGTTTATTTCTCCTGTTAAACACAGGCTCAAGTTTGTTTACGTATCGACACATCAACAACTTATAGCTAATTCATGGCAAAATCAATATAGATAAAAACATTACGTTGGGTTGTTAAAGTACATCCAGCTGTTTGTAATCGAAGAATAAAGCCAGATGAGAAGTGGAGCACTGTTGTATGAGACTGAAGGGCTTTATTCTGCAATAACAACCCTCCTGGATGTACTTTATCCCACTTATTGCAGAAATACTTGCCACAAAACATCAAAATTAGACACAAATCATTGAGCTGTAATAGTTTATCAATTCTTTAATTTCACACAAAGCCGAAAGAGAATGAAAGCAGAAGCTGGAGTATACACTAATCTGTGCATTATTCAGTCAAAAGATGGCGCCATACAGACAAATACGTAAAGCTGACAGAAACTAAACTGGTTGAATGGAGCATACAACAACCTACTTATTATTCAGTTGGCGGCAAACAGCCAGTGTGGAGTAGTTAGATACATATGAATGTGGACGCAAGTATATGGATGTGAAAGTATTCACTTATGATCAAGGCGAGCTGGTGTTATTTAGTGATTGTTATCTGGGAATAATATGCATTTGAATGTCATAAGACCACTCTACAGGTGTCCAGGGACAGGCGCTACAATGGTTTAAGTCATACTTAGCTGATTGTTATCAGTTCGGGAATATTAATGTACAGCCTTCACAAGTCAGCCCAGTAAAGTATGGGGTGCCTCAAGGATCAGTTTTAAGCCCTTTGCTGTTTACATGCTACCCCTGGGAGACATTATTAGAAGACATGGGATCAGCTTTCACTGCTATGCAGATTATACTCAATTATATATTTCAACTAAACCTGATGAGATGTCTGATCTGCCTTAGCTAACTGAGTGTATTAAAGATGTTAAAGACTGGATGACCAACAAATTCCTTCTCTTAAACTCAAAATAGAATTATTACTTATTTGGCCTAAATCCTGCACACAGCAGATCTCACAACTCAACCTGCAGTTAGAGGGATACAGAGTTAGCGTTAGCTCTACTATGAAAGATCTGGGTGTTATACAGTATTAGACAGCAATTTAACTTTTGAAAAACATATATTCCATGTCACAAAAACTGCCTTCTTCTGAGAAATATTGCTAAGTTACGAAGTATGCTATCCATCTCAGATGCTAAAAAGCTAGTCCATGCTTTTATGACTTCTAGGCTGGATTACTGTAGTGCTCTGTTTGCTGGCTGCCCAGCATCCTCTATTAATAAACTTCAGCTAGTACAAAATGCAGCCGCCAGAGTTCTTACCAGGTCTAGAAAATCTGATCATATCACCCCCATCCTCCTTACACTGGCTGCCTGTTAAGTTTCATGTTGATTTTAAAATATTACTTCTCACCTATAAAGCTCTAAATAATCTAGCTCCTGTTTATCTAACCAACCTTCTATCTCGCCACAATCCAGCTCGCTCTTTAAGATCTCAAAACTCAGCGCTTCTGGTAGTCCCTTGAATAGCAAAGTCGAGTAAAGGAGGTCGGGCCTTCACATTTATGGCTCCTAAACTCTGAAATAGCCTTCCTGATAATGTCTGGGCTCTCGCAGTTCAAAACTAGATTAAAGACCTATCTTTTTAGCAAAGCATACACTCAGTGCATCACTTAGTGGTATGATACATGAATGTGCCCCAAGCAGATTTTTGCATCCCGTATTAACACTACGAACAGCAAAAGAAGATATTTTGAAAAATGCTGGTAGCTGCCACCCATTGACTTTCATAGTAATTTTTTTCTGCTATGGAAGTCGATTGGTTTCAATAACTAACTAACTAACTGGTTTCTAAGCACAAATCAAACGAAGAAAGAAACTCATAAAAAACAAATAAATAAATAAATAATTTATAAATTAAACATTTAGTAGATTTTGACCAGTCAGTCATGACATTCCAAGGTATTTTATTAACAGATAACAATGACTAAATAACATTGGCTTATCTAGAAATCAGATCACCTTGATCATCATTCATATTCATATTGATCATACTTTCACATCCATATACGTACATTCACTGTTTGCCACCATCTTCTGATTTAATATTATGTAGTTTAGTATAAAATGTAGGTCACAAAAAAAAAGGAGATATGATTTCTGTTAAACACAAAAGAAGATATTTATAAAAAAAAATGAAGGTAGCTGGCACCTATTGACTTACATAGTTGGAAAAAAATACTATGGAAGTCAATGGGTGCCAGCTACCAGCATTCTTCACGTTGTATTATTTTGTGTTCAACAGACTTATGAGGCAGAATAAATAATGATTTAATTTAAATTTTTGGGTAAACTATCCCGTTAAATCATGTTTCAGGTTCTAACTGAGCATCAGAATACCTCAGGCATATGCGGTCCTGTCTTTTTGCTTTTGTCCTCCATGCCTTTGGGTTTCAGCAGGATCTTGTCAGCCTCCAGGGCTCCGATGAGGGCGTTGGGTTTGAACTTTACATGGTTTCTGTTGGTGGTGATCAACTCGAGGGTGTGGCCCGACGGGTTCAAGTGGTGCTGGGCACAAAGCATCACCAGCAGGTCCATCATGGGCTTGCTGAAAACACACAGCAGACCATCAATGTCAGTTCTAGCAGCATAAAGAAGATACAAAGATCATCAGAAAGCCTATTTTGAGGTCAATGTTTCATTTAAAGAAGATCTAAAGGGTCTTTTTAGAAACTTCAGTGCCGATGGTAACACTATCAACTGTTAAAAGTCAATCAGAACAGCACATTGCACTAAAACACTGTATTTTGCACATAGCACATGTACAGAGACTCATGAACATCTGCACATTCATGCACAATCGCACACACTGTGGTCATATATAGTGTATAGTTTAGAGCAGTGGTCCTTAATCACCAGACCGCACACAGGTACAGGTCTATGCATCAATTGATACCGGGCCGCACAAGAAATCATTAATTATTTCCGTTTTATTTCTTATCCGAGTCTGACCTAAAATCTTTTATTTTGAAAAATGACCGTATTCTCAAATTTAACCCACAAGCAGCAAAATGAGCAAGAAAGTTGTGAAGGGTAAAAGGCCCAGTGAAGGACCTGTGAACTGCCATGGAATGGATCTGCAACCCTTTTGTCAACAAATCAGGTGAATCCAGCATGTCTGTGCAAGAAGATCAACAGCTGCAGATTGCAAATGATGTTTGCGCAAGTTCGTTGCTTCCAATGGAGGTGCGCGGCTTGCGTACACGCTCGCCTTTAAAGATGAAAACAATAAATAAATACAAAAAATACATTTATAAGGCTAAATAAATGATTACATTATATAAATAAATAAAGTGCCATTTTGGTGCCCGCATCAAATATGCAAATAAAATTGTACACACTTAAAATCATTTTAAATGCAAGTGTATACTTTAATGTTTAAAATTTTCTGTTTCTTTCAGAAAAGAAAAAACATGTAAAAAACGTAACTAAAAAAAATTTGTAATTAATCAGTGCTTTAATAAGCTAAAAAATTAAAAACTTCAGCGCTCAACTGGATAAAAGCTAGTGTTCTGCAACCAAATAAAACATTTTAAATTATTTATGTATTAATTTATTAATTCATTCATTTTCTTGTCGGCTTACTCCCTTTATTAATCTAGGGTCGCCACAGCGGAATGAACCGCCAACTTATCCAGCACATTTTTATGCAGCGGATGCCCTTCCAGCCGCAACCCATCTCTGGGAAACATCCACACACACATACACTACTGATAATTTAGCCAACCCAATTCACCTGTACCGCATGTCTTTGGACTGTGGGGAAAACTGGAGCACCCGGAGGAAACCCTGCGAGCGCAGGGAGAACATGAATGAAAAAAAAATATCCTCATTTATAAAAGAATAACTTGAAATCATAACAAAAAGTTCTTCATTTATTCATTCATTCATTCATGCGACCTTCTTGCTGTGAGGCAAACATGCTACCCACTGCACCAACGTGACACCCACAAGTTTAAATAAATAAATTTATAAAGCTAAATTAATGATTACGATATATAAATATAGTTCAATATATAAATATAAAACAGGCCTGTAGCCAGCCTGGTGAAAGTAGTGGTTCTTTTTTTCTCAAAAAGTGGACCTTTTTTGCAGTTATACGCCTCAGTTTTTATTTAAGATTTAAATACTGTATTTTAGTGATTTTTTTGCTGGATTAGCTAATCAGATTTTATCATAACCACACTTTTTGATGTACTAAAATATTTCCATAAAATTTCAATTAATTTTTTTTAAACAAGATTAATAAAAAAAAAACTAATCACATCATATATCATTAGGAAAAATAGCAATCTGTTAAAGTCCTAAAGTAAAAAAAACTGGCAAGCACATTCAACTGCCTCAGTCACAATTTGGACATAAAAAACAAAAGAAAACATAATAATAATTATTATAATAATAATAATCATCATCATAATAATCATCATAATACAATATTTATTCATTCTTCAGATTTTTTCTAGCCTCTTTGGTTAAAAAACATAAAGCCTGGATTATTTTCATTATTTATGATGGCAAAGCAGTCAAAATAGGACGAAAATAGGACGAATGAGCTCATATATGGGACAAATTCTGGACCTTTGTCAGTGTGGGGTGTGTCTTTCGAACCTCCCGAACCCCCTGGCTACAGGCCTGAAACGTAAGAACACGTTTTATGCTTATAGTAAATGTTTTAATCGAATTTTGGCTGTAAAAGCGCACCTACAGGTGTTTCAGGCGCAGGTCAGATGTGACGGGATTAGCGCCTTTTGCTGTGAAGTGACACCTGATGGCTGACGACTCCGCTTTCCATAAAAGCCTTCGTCGGACAGTTATTAAAAAAATATTGTCAAAAATAGGGAAAGGAAGATCATGTACTGGACAAGTCAAAAAACATACAGGGCGCCCCGGCTAATGCGGCCAGTAAGCCTATGGATAGATTTCCATCTGTTAGGAAGTTAGTAACTTTTGCCTTAATGTTACCCTTGTTGGCAAGTCTTTTAGAACATATGTTCAAAATTTTGCGATAATGGCGCCACTGCCTGCCTTTTCTGCTTGCTCTTTTCGACCAACACCATTGCTCAGTATCCATGTCGCATCAAAGATTCAAATATTACCACTCAGTGGGTTATGTCACGTGACTCGCGTCACATTATTGTGGCTTCGAGGCTTTTTGGGATTCAAATTACTGGCCAGAGTTATTTAAAATTACACTTTATTACAACATATATTGAATATAAATATATTATATTAATTATATAATAAATATATTATATAATATTAAATTACATAAAATAATTAAAGGGACAAATTCTGGACCTTTTGGCTGTGGGGGGTTCGAACCACCCGAACCATACAACCCCCCCCCCCCCCCCCTTACAGTATTATGTAGCCAAATAAAAATATTTTAAATTATTTTATGCATAACTATATGCATGTATATGTATATGTACAAATAAAAAAATCTCATTTATAAAATAATATTTTTTGAAATTTTGAAATCATAACAAAAACTTCCTATTGACTTAAATTTGACCAAACAGAATTTTTAAAGATGAAAACAAGCACCAGATTCACAAAAAAACGGGTTGTGAAAGATCTTTTCCGTGTTATGATGTTGTTGAATGAACTGAACAGACAGTCAGAGCCTCGGGAAACATGTGACATTGTTGTGTGGAGTCTGGAAATGCCAAAGTTGACGACACAAGCTCTGCTATCTGTGAAGTATAAAGGATTTGCATGAGTGAAATTTTGCCGCAGGCATGACTTACATGCCAATCCAAGTCAAGGCGAATCAGCTCCAACGGCTCTTCACTTGATTGTTCACTTGAAGTGTTCATGACAATAACAACAAAGCCATATGAACACAACAGAAGTAAGCTCAGGAGAATGTATGCATGCCTTTCTTCCATTTCATTCCTCTGGAAATGTATTTTGGTTTTGAATAATACCCTCACAGTTTGTTTGTTCGTTCCTAGTCTTTTGTTTAAAGCTAATGTTAATGTTAAAAGTCCTTTGAAGTGCTTTGAAATTTGCATTTTTTAAAAATTAAAAATCCCAAATCAAGCAAAAAGTGCTCAGGGTTAGCTTAAATAATGTGTTGGTGCTCTTTGGGTCAGGTATTCATCAGAATTAACAGCAAAAATCAGTCCAAGCCACTTGAAAAATGTGGAAAAGAAATATTAACAAGTCTTTATTCACACTGCTAATCCTTAAAAAAAAAAAAAAAAAAAAAAAAAAAAAAATATATATATATATATATATATATATATATATATATATATATATATATATATATATATATATTTTTTTTTTTTTTTTTTTTTAAATATGCATTTGGGCAAAGCACTGCCTTCATCAGTGTAACAGGGTACAAAATTGCTTTTTTTTTTGTTAGATTTTTAATGTAATCTCAACTGCAAACAATAATAGAGGGCGGGCATAGAGTAGCTCCTCCCCTTTAAAAAACAGCCAATAGCATTTCGTATTTTACATCTCTGCCAGTGAGAGTGGTTGAGACCAAGAACATCACATAAAAAGCAAATGAGAAGCGTCTTGAAGGGGGCGGGGCAGATACTAGAGAGCATTTGATTGGTCAAGACTTGATGAGAAACTGAAGTTTAAGGTGACGTCAAAAAAAGTACAATTGCAGAATCATTTTTTATGTGTGTAATTAGAGTGTAGTACATCTTTACTGTAGAATACAGTCAATTTCACAATGCAACTTTAAAATACAGTAACAATGCACAACTGCCCTACAGTAAAATACAGTTCATATTACAGTTAAATACCATGTAATTTACAAAAATCTTTAACAGTGTAATGTATTAATGCCAGTGGCGCAAAAAGGGGGTATGCAGTATATGCGGCGCATAGGGGCGCCACACATGGGGAGGGCGCCATTGTGCCAAAACTATTTTTAAAATTATCCTTATTAAAAGTTTTAAATAATAAAAATAAATAAATATGTTTTGATAAAAAACATTATTTTGCATTTTATACAAATATAACATTGTTATTGTTTAATTCAAAATCATTTAACACAATAACATGCAGTCACACAGCCTAGAGTGTTCATGTAGATGTAACTGTTTAGATTTGTTTTTATTTTTATCAAAATAAACTGTCAAATCATACATAATGTCAAAAGTTATAAGATTAATCTGAAAATTTGTCTTCATTTATTATTAATTAATTAATTTAATTATTAATTTGCCAAAATAAGAGGGATCACACAAAATTTGAACCCGCATACCCCTTAGTAAATGTGTAGTTGCGCCCCTGATTAATGCATTCTACAACACCTTATTCAACAACAACTTATTCCCAAGGATTTATCTATTTTATCCATTAATGATGGAATCTGCTCTTCTTTGGGAAATATTGTATTTAAATTTTTTTACATAACTGATTATGAGCAAGAAAATGAACAATGGGGGTCAATTTAAATGTGCCTTCCTTCTCCCACAATGCTTCAATGAAAACTACTAAAAAAAATTTTAAAAAAAAATACGCTCAACACATTGCACAGTAAAAGTGTGGAAAATCCCTTCGAGACAGATTATGACATGAAAATCTCCAGCTGCTTTTGGAATTCTAGGATCTTAGAAAGCTCTGGAAACACACCGCCGGTAGTTTAATCCCGTTTAGGAGAGTTTTGGTGGCACAACTTTAGAAAAGCAGGTGAAGAATTTGTATATTAATCCTTTTAGATTGAATTTGGTTTCAGCTTTAGCAGTTTAGGAAAATCAGGTTTCATTCACAGGTGTTCAGGATCAAAGAGCTCAAATAAAATTGATGATTAAATGATGATGACAGACTGATAGATATTTGAGATCAGGTTTGTGCGAAGAAAAACATACTACAGTAACACAAATGAACAAAGAACAACCCAAGCAGACAGACAGATACACTTGTAGATAGAATAACTTGAAGTAATTACTAAACTGAAACAATAACAAAAAATAGGAGTAAAAATAATAATAGCAACATTCATTAAATATGTATTATAACTCATGCATATTAGTATACGATAATTTTATAAATTAATAATTGTTATTTTATTATTCAGTCATTCATTTTCTTTTCAACTTAGTCTCTTTGTTAATCAGGGGTAGCCACAAAATGAACTGCCAAACTATGCAGCATATGTTTTCTGCAGCGGATGCCCTTCCAGCTGCAACCCACCACTGGGAAACATCCATACACACTCATTCACAAATATTCACTATGGACAGTTTAGCTTACTCAATTCACCTATAGCACATGTGTTTTGACTTGTGGTGGAAACCGGAGCACCCGGAGGAAACCCAAGCGAACACAGAGAGAACATGCAAACTCCACACAGAAATGTCAACTGACCCAGCCAGCAACCTTCTTGCTGTGAGGCGAACGTGCTACCCTATTATTATTATTATTATTATTATTATTATTATTATTATTATTATTATTATTATTATTAAGCATTATTAAGCTAGCAAACACCAGCAATAGCAAATTAAATAGTAAGTCCCAGGACACGCTGGAGGGACTCTCGGCTGGCTTGGGATCGGCTCGGGATCTTATTAATAATAATGAATAATTGTTATTATTAATATTATTATTATTGTTGTTGTTGTTATTATTATACATTTTTTATATAATTATGCCATCAAATATCAATTTGATTTTATATTTAATTATATGTAAAATAATAACAATAACTATCCCGGCATATGTTTTACACAGCGGATGCCCTTCCGGCCACAACCCAGCATTGGAAAACATCCATACACACTCACATACACACACTCACACATTAATTTTCCTTTGGCCCAGTCCCTTTATTATTCAGGGATCATCACAGCGGAATGAACTGCCAACTTATCCAGCATATGTTTTACATAGTGGATGGTGGGGGAAACCAGAGCACCTAGAGGAAACTCATGCCACAGGAAACCAAACACGGAAAAAAAACATGCAAACTCCACAAAGAAATGCCAACTCTTGTGTGAGGAAACAGTGCTAACCACTGAGCCACCGAGTCGACATCATTATTAGTAGTAGTATTATTAATTCTACTATTCAGATCATTATTTAAAATATCATACATTATACAATTATCCTATCTGGCCAACTTAAAGTAAATTCCTCTTTAAAATCACAGTCCTGCATGCAGATCTTTAAAATCAGAGATGCTGAGGACAGAAAACATCTATAAACAGACCACAGAGAGCACAGCAGAACCGCTGAAACTGATCAACTGTTCAATGATAATCACAAACAGTATACAGTGATGCAGGATTCCTCGAGCGTCATCTCATTCTCTGTATACCCGAAAGCAGGCAAGATTTGTAGCAGGATCTTGGAGAAACGCTGCTCCACCCAGCTGACTCACTGCAATCATCTGATTAGTTTCATAACAGCAATCATCTGAGAATCTGCATGATCTCACATACAGCAAAGCTCGGAGATTAACACCTTACATGCACCAGTCCACAATCCTCATTGAAAGGAAAGTTGGTTTAAGAAACTTTTGGATTGATTAACTGAAATTTTCAGGAACGGTTCTCATTTTTGAGGTCCAGAAACGCAAAGCTGCAAATAAACCAATGTTTGCATCCACTTCCATGCTCAAACTGTCATTTTGCTATGTTTATTCCAGCTTGTTAATCATGAGCGATGTTCAAAATTGTTTTAAGGCAACATGATTGCATAACCGTGCAAAAAAAGGGCTGATGATACAGTATTTGAACATTTAAATTTATATTTATATTTATATATATATATATATATATATATATATGTGTGTGTGTGTGTGTGTGTGTGTGTGTGTGTGTGTGTGTGTGTGTGTATACACATACATACATACATATATATATATGTATGTGTGTGTGTGTGTGTGTGTGTGTGTGTGTGTGTGTGTGTGTGTGTGTGTGTGTGTGTAAATACACACACACACACACACACTTAATTAACTAGTTTGCCATGGTAACAGTGCATAATATTTTACTAGTTATTTGTTTTACTTATATTGAACCTAGGCTGCATGGTGGCGCAGCGGGTAGCGCTGTTCGCCTCACAGCAAGAAGCTACAGTTTGAGCTACAAACAATTTAGCTTACTACATGTCTTTGGCACAGCACTGGGAGAACATGCAAACTCCACACTGGAATGCCAGAACTCGAACCAGCGACCTTCTTGCTGTGAGGAGACAGTGCTAACCACTGAGCCATTGTGTCATCCTACTATTATTTAATTGTATTTTATTACAATATCATTAATATATCTTTATAGAATCTAAATGTATATGTGTGCGACGTTTTTTGTTTGTTTAGAAGCTATTTGTACTGCATGTTTCATATGTAACATGCTCAAAAAAACAAAACAAAAAAAACTAAACAGCCTCACCTGCCGTGGACTGTGGTGATCTTCTCTGCTCCTCCAGGCAGGATGACGGTGAGCGTCAGCTCCTGCTCCAGCAGACTCTCCGTCTGCTCCATGGCTGGATGAGGGAAGGCCTGGAGCTTGTGGCTCAGCAGAGGAGCATCCAGACCTGTCAGGACCGGAGGAGGAGGGGCTTTGCTTTTTGTTGATCTCCTGAAAAACAAGAAGATAATATTGATTTGATTCATTTATGTTTGGACAGAAAAATCATATATAAAATATCATTAACAAAAAAGACATTTCAACATGGTCAAAAATGGAGTGGGATGAAGCACAAGCTTATTCATTCATTCATTCATTTTCGGCTTAGTCCCTTTATTAATCTGGGGTCGCCACACCGGAATGAACCGCCAACTTATCCAGCTTGTTTTTGTGCAGCAGATGCCCTTACAGTCACTACATATCTCTGGGAAACAACAAGCATATTATTTTCTGCTATAGCTATAACATTATAGCTTTTCTAAAAATTAAACCTTGTGTATTCACTTCCTAATCTGCAATTGCCTCTCTGGATATACCACTAACTGTACTCAAAAAAAAAAAAAACTAAAAAAAAAAAAAAAAAAACATTTTTTTTACTAAATTACTAAAATATTACTAATACTTTCCTTCTTAGACTGTACAGACCTGAAACTTGCCTATAGCACTTATTCATTGTTGCTCTTATAGTTGTGTAAATTGCTTCCTTGTCCTCATTTGTGAGTCGCTTTGGATAAAAGCGTCAGCTAAATGACTAAATGTAAATGTAAATGTGTATTGTTGAATAACTGACTACCTTTTCGCTATGTTAGTGGCTGTTTTAACAAAGAAAACCACCGACAATAAAGAATGCATAACTATATGGTGTCATGGCTTTGCAATCAAAAAATGTCATTATAATAGAAGTCAATAGGGCCAAAACAGCCCCAAACAGAATGAAAGGGAAGTTTTATTCAGAGGCCAAAACTAAGCAGAATATGCAAATTGGAGCAAAAAGCTGATGTTTTGTGCTGAGAAATTCTAATAGAGATTTAAATCAAAGATATATTATAAAAACAATAACTGCATAAATAGTGGTTGTCGCTTTATGTGCCAATAATGTGTTTTAAAACATTAAAAAACAAAACTAAAACTCTGATTTCACAGCAAAAGACTGTTTATAGGTAAACTGTATTTAAAAAATAAATGAAATAAAAATCAAGAAACTGAAGGCATGGGGAATAACCGGCCTGAATCACAGCCAATTTATCACCCTTAACTGGTCCTGAACTGGGTCAAAGCAGGTTTATTATTGGTACTGATTCTCAGCTACAGTATATGTTAACCAGATCAACACCACTCTTTAACCAGAAATCCCAAAAACTGAGCCATAACCCAGCCTAACGTTACCTAAACAATGTGACCAATCGCAACACTGATCTGGGCCACACACCTCCCATCCACAACTGGCCCAAATGTAGTTTGCCGTCATACATGCATTGCCATCATTGCTCTGCATGGCCTACATTTGGCTGACATTATGCATGCCAGTGCCAGCAACACGCCAACAGAGCCATGATGAAGCCACATTTGGGCCAAGTCTGTTTGCTATGTGGGTTTAAGCATTTATTCATTCATTTTCCTTTTGGCCTAGTCCCTTTATTCATTAGGAGTCGCCACAGCGGAATGAACCGCCAACTTATCCAGCATGTTTTAAACAGTGCATGCCCTTCCAGCTGCAACCCAGTACTGGAAAACATCCATAAACACTCATTCACACTCATACACTACGGACAATTTAGCTTACCCAATTCACCTATAGTGCATGTGTTTGGACTTGTGGGGGAAACAGGAGCACCCAGTGAAAACCCACGGCAATACGGGGAGAACATGCAAAGTCTACACAGAAATTCCAACTGACCCAGCCGAGGCTCGAACCAGCGACCTTTTTGCTGTGAGGCGACAGTGCCACCATGTGTCACCCTTTTTTAAGCAAATTTTGATCATGTTGATTATTTAGAAACCTTACAATGTGTTGTGGAATACAGGGGCAAACTGGCCAATCTTTCTGGCAAATGCCAGAAGGGCCGGACCAATTTTTAAATGTGGGCCGGTCAGTTTTTTTATTTTTTATTTTTATTGTTTTTACGTGCATGCAGCTTTTATCTCTTGCTAGATGTGATATTATGATGATGATAAATAAAAAACATGAATAATAAAAATAAATAAATAAATAAATAAAAAATAATAATAATAAATGTTAAGCATTTGGCCCAATCGGCGACGACCGCCTATTTTCAAGATGGGCTGACCCAATCTGAGGTTACCCGGACGTAATCAAAATCGTGCAAGAATGTCATATTTTTTCACCATCTGTACACCAAAATAAATAGTGAATGTGCGTGTCCGTGGGTGCGGCTGTGTCGATGTGGTAATGTGGGCTGATGTGGCTGCAGTGCCAGGGCTGAATTTTTGTCCCAGTCCACCCCTGGGGTCCGTTCTTCGTACATGGATTACTCAGTTAGCTGGATTTGGATATTGACGATTTGACACGATCCAGGGTCGTTTCGTTCTTCAAAGCTGATCCGAGAGTTGTTGTCATAGCAACAGTTCTGCTAGCTCAAACCTGATCGGGAGCAGGTTCAATTCATATAAACAGGATTAGATCGGCTTAGTTCAAGCAAAGATAATACAAAAAGTATGTTCCGAATTCTGATATTTTCTTACAGTAGTAGTTATATACAATTGGGAAAATGGTACATATTTTTTAACTATATATATATAAAGTTATAGTCATTAATAAAATAAATTAAGTTATACATATTAATAAAACATATGCAATCTGCACCCTCGAAATGAAAGTACAAAGACTGCCACCTGGTGGTGCAAAGAGAAAACTTATTGATATGAACTATTTAGATCGCTTTAGTAAAAATTGTGTAAATAGAAATGCAGAACATGTGACTTTTTTTAAAGTAATAATACATTTATGCAGTCATAAACATGTTTTGATAGTTAATATGTCGGTGATTTGATGCTTCACAAAAGTTGCAGACGCCTTTACCAATATGAAAACGCTTTTGTAAACAACCAGTTATTCTTTACACCGATTAAAAAATGGCTACTATAATAAAGAAAATATTTTCTAAATGTGGAACTAAATACATTGATTTGCATTGAAATACATGATGAATACTCTTGTCACATGAAAGTGGAAAGCCTGCAGCTCACAACAAATGTGGAAGGTTATTGCGTGTCATATTTAACAAGCCGTTTACTGCTAATTTGATGTAATTTTGCTCACATGGATAATTGAATATTAATCAGATGATGTCATTACGCAGCTGTGCCGTCAGCCAATCATTGCATTGTAATCATGATTTCGAGGATCGATAGATCTGTCCTTCACAACACACGCAGCGATCTCAGATCAGTTTATCCAGACATTCTAATCTGATTCGTAAACTTGTTTGAAAAACCAAATTAGCGAGAGATCAGTTATCAAGATGAAAAGATCCAGGATCGGCAAAATCATCTTAGATCATTTAAGCGAGGCACGAAGAACGGACCCCTGGTGGAATATATGATACAGTAGGCGTTATGAGGTTAAAGAAACTTGACACAAGTTACTCAATCTTACCTGCTGCCCTCAAACATCTGCGCTCAAACAGACAACACTAAATCATCAGTCTGTTTACACACATTTGCTTTGCATGCTTGGGTGAACCAGAGTTCAGTTGCATCCTCCAGCCTGCAGGTCTCTTTGCAACGCTCCATTATTACAGAGGTTTGTTTTAACTTTAGTAAACACTAGGCTGACTTTAAATGCAAATAAATAAGCAGCTTTAGTTTGCACGGAAAATGCAGTAATTGCACTAAAAAAACGATGCATGGTAAAGCCTGAAAGACATCCATTCTTCTCCGCTCAAATAAGCAGCTATTTAATGAGAGGGCTTGGATGCACTTTACACACAAGTCACAAGACACTGGAGTGATGTGATTCATTCATTCCAGCACACCATGACCGAGGATCTCTTTACATGTAGAAAGTTTTGAGTCTCTTATGCTCACAGGATGTAATTATTTGGACAACATTAAAAGTATTTTTACTATTACAAGGGCAGCATGGTGGCTCAGTGGATAGTACTCTTGCCTCACAGCAAGAAAGTCACTGGTTTGAGTCCTGGCTGGGTCAGTTGGCATTTCTGTGTGAAGTTTGCATGTTCTCCCCATTTTGGTGTGGGTTTTCTCCGGGTGCTCCGGTTTCTCTAACAGTCCAAACTGAGACATGTGCAATAGGTGATTTGATTAAGCTAATGTAAATTGTCCATTGTGTATGAATGTATATACAGTTGAAACCAGAAGTTTACATTTACTGTATAAAATGGTACATAACCATTTTTAAAAAAGTATCTTTTAGGTAAGTTAGGATTATCAAATTTGTTTCTGTTATGCTTAATAATGTTATTAATGTTAATAATTATGTTATGATTGGCTAATTGACATATTTAAGTTAATTGGAGGCACAAGTGTAGAATAGTATTTAAGGAAAACCTCACACACACTGCTTCCTTGTGTGACAACATGGGAAAATCAACAAGCCAGAATCAACAACAAAGCCAGATTACTATTTGCTAAATTTCACTGGGAAAAATAATAATGTTTGGAGACATGTGCTGTGGTCTGATGGAACTAAGATTGAACCGTAATGACCAGTGTTACATTTGGAGGACAAAGGGGAAAGCTTACAAGCCTAGGAACACCATCCCAACTGTGAAGTATGGGGGCGGCAGCATCATGTTGTGGGGCTGTTTTGCTGCAGGATGGACTGGTCCACTTCACAGCATAGATTGCATCATGGAGAAAGAACATTATGTAGAAATATAGCTGCAAGCAGCAATTAAGGGGCCAAGCACTTTTGGCCAAAAGATGGCGCTGCTCCAGAAGTTTTTGAGTACTTTCAGGGCATGGGGTTGAAGATGCATACCATGTTTTGTAATGATATGTGAATATGTTTGTAAAATATAGCTGTTCTGTGAAAATCACACATCATTCGACTCGATGTGCTCTGCCGGATGTAATGAGACCAGTTTTATGAGTTTCGGACGAACGGTTGAGACGTTATAAGCCAAAAAAGCAAGTTTTTGTATCTCCGGACCACTAGGGGGCAGTGCGACGAAACTCCGCATATAACC